ACCAAACTCATTGCCATTGAATCGATTCTGACTCATAGCGACCCTATAATAGGACAAAGTAGAACTGCCCCATAGGGTTTCCAAGGAGTGGCTGGGGGATTCAAACTGCTGACATTTTGGTTAGCAGCCAAGCTCTTAACCACTGTGCCACCAGGGCTCCAATTAAAGGAAAAGAAGGAGTGGTATATGGGAATTACGATTTACGAGTAACATTAGCTCAAAAAACTAAGGATTCTGTAGGGTCTGGTATAGGAAGAGGTCCATGTGGGGATAACACCATGGGTGACTCGAACCCTAGTGACACCACTGCCCCCTGCTGATGAGAAATATCACCGTGTGCCCATCTCCAGGGCTGTCCAGTACTTGTGCAAATGGAGTCATGTGTCAGGAGGTGTGTCTGGTGCCCCAGGAAGGCAGTGGGCACTCAGAGGAGCAGAGGTACAGATTTTGCCTCCTCTGCTGCAGTGGCAGAAAGAGAAGCCTGGGAGGGGCAGCCCTGCCCACAGGCTGCACATTTGTAGCCAAAAGAGGGTAGGCTAGGGAGTGTGCTCTCTTGCTCACTCTTGCTCTCTCTCTCTGTCTCTGCCCCCCCATGTCTGTCTGTCTTCATCTCTCTCTGTTCGTCTCTGTCTTTGTCTCTTTCTTTCTCTGTCATTCTCTATCTCTCTGTCTCTGTCTCTCTCTGGTACTTTGTCCCCATCTCTCCACTGAGACCTTTGGTCCTCTTCCTTAGTAGACTTCATCCTTTTCAAAATTATTTTAGTTTCTTTGCCTTTCCTTGTGAATTTTAGAATAATCTTGCCTATATCTACAAAATATTTTTCTGGGATTTTGATGGGAATTGTGTTAAACTTGTTTATCAGTTTGGAGAAAACTGACATCTTAACTGTGTTGAGTCTTTCGATCCATGAACATAGTATGTCTCTCCACTTATTTTGACCATCTTTGATTACTTTCATCAGCATTTTGTGATTTTGAAGCATTCGAGTCTGATGCATGTTTTGTTAGACTTGAGCCTAAGTATTTCATTTTTTTGAACAATTGTAAATGGTATTATGTTTTTAATTTTGGTTTTCACATTTTCGTTGCTAGTATATAGAAATACAATTGATTTTTGTATTTTGATTTTGATCTTATATCCTGTGACCTTGCTGAACTCATTTATTACTTCTCAGAGTTGTTTTTTTTTTTCCTTAAGATAGATTCTGTGAGATTTTGCCTATAGACCATCATGTCTGTGTTGGGGACAGTTTTATTTCTTTCTTTTCAATCTGTATGCCCTTTACTTCTTTTCTTTCCTATTGCACTGACTTGCTTGCTTTGAGGGTACAGCTCTTGGCCTGGAATCTTTTTTTATTTTATTGTTGTGTTTTAAGTGAAAGTTCACAATTCAAGTTAGTCTCTCATACCAAAATTTATACACACAGTGTTATGTGACCCTAGTTGCTCTCCCTATACTGTGACAGCACATTCCTCCTTTCTACCCCGGATTTCCCCTGTCCGTTCAACCAGCTCCTGACCCTCTCTGCCTTCTCATCTTGCCTCCAGACAGGAGCTGCCCATTTAGTCTCATGTATCTACTTGATCTAAGAAGCACACTCTTCACGAGTGTCATTTTATATCCCATAGTCCAGTCTAATCTTTGTCTGAAGAGTTGTTGGCCTCGGATCTTTTGGGTGATGGAGGAGATTTATGTCATCCTGAGGAGGAGGCAGCCAATGGCCAAGGATGGGCAAGATGCTCCTTATCCTGCCCCTGGCTGTGAGGTCTGGATGCCAGGGGTGGTCCTTGGTCATCCTGCAGCTGGTCTGCGTCCACGAGAGAGCATATTCAGATGCAAGTGCATCATGTGGAAGCCCCATTTTCATTAAGTGAGAATAGTAGTTTTCACCTCCTAGTTATGAAATGGTTAAGCGCTCGGCTGCTAACCAAAAAGTTGGCAGTTCAAGCCCACTCAGTGGCTCCACGGGAGAAAGACTGGCGATCTGCTTCCGTAAAGATTACAACCTAGGAAACCCTACTGGGTAGTTCTACTCTGTCACATGGGGTTGCTATAAGTCAAAAATCGACTCAACAGCACACAACAACAATAACAACAGTTGCGGAGAGGCTTCAGGTACCTGCAAAGCATGTAATGAGCATTGGAAGATGCCAGAAGTGCTATTGAGAGCTTACTGCTCCTGCACAGGCCAGGAAGTTAGGGATTTCACCACGTGCTCCTCAGAGCGAGTGGCAGGGTGGGTGGCAGACTGCACTTAGAGCTGGGCAAGAACGTCACCACAGAAGCTACTTGTATCCTGCTATGAACACCACTGTGGGCATCTGGTATCTGCTGTTGGCAGTGCCCAGACTCTGATGATAGGGGTGGATGTGGAAGGAGCCTTTCCTGCTGGCCCGGCAGTACTGTGCTCTGAAGGCTTTCCAAGGACTGTGTGCCCTTCTCTTTCCCTCGTCTGGTGGCAGATGCCAGTGACATCGATCGCTTCCTCAGCGTGTTTCATAAGCCACACGCAGGTGTCATCCAGGTGGCCCGGCAGCTGCTCTCCGATGAGCAGTCCCCACTGAGGCAGAAGCTTCTGGCAGATCTCCTTCACAATGTCAGTGAGAACATTGCGGCCGAGACCAGGGCTGAGGACCAGCAGTGGTTTGAGGGTATGTTGTGGGCTTGTGCTTGCGAGAGGGAGCTGGGTGGGCAAGGGCTTCCTCAGAGCCAGGGACGCCAGGAATAATTGGATTCTATTTCAATGTCTATAAGCTCACGAGATGAAGGGATCTGCCTGGCTCCTCTGGGGGCTGGGGTGGAGGACCTGAACAAAGTGCTGCCAAGCAGGGGCTTGGCAAAGACTAGGAAGGCCGCTCTGCATGACGCAGGTGACAGTCTTTAAACCAGGCAGAGGCAACTCTGAGAGACAGCAGTCCTCTCGGAAAAGGAGAGTTTGAGGTACCAGCCAGGCAAAAGCCCCTTGTAGTTGTTTGAGGTTCCCCATGCTGGTGGATCAGAAGAATCTGCCTCTGCTAAAAAGCAAACAGACAGACAAAAAACAGAGATCTTGTGCGTATCACTCCCAGAATCCTTCTCAAGATGAAGGAACTTGGCCTTCACTTCTGACCAGCCAGGCAGAGGAATGCTTGAGGGGCCAGGAGGAAACCTAGCTTGCTCCCGTGGGCTGCATGGCGGTCTCCTCTGCTTCCTCTCAGGTTTGGAGTCCCGATTTAGGAACAAGTCGAGCTATTTAAGATACAGCTGCGAGAGCCGGATCCGGAGTTACCTGAGAGAGGTGAGTATGTGTTGACGCCAGGGATGCTGGGTGGTTTAGGGGACCCCTTGGCCAGCTCAGGGATCTTCTCATCCCCATGGTGGGTGTAGAAGTTGGCTTATGCAGACCTAGTCAGGCTGCTCTGAAGAAATAAACCAGTGCGCTGCCTGCTTGCCCCATAGAAGCACACGGCTTCATAGATTTCCTAGTCTGCTCAGCTTCTCATGCATGGTTCTAGCGTTTGACTTCCATTCTCCTCTTCTCCTCAGAGGATGATGCCGGAGACTTTCCTGGGGCTGGCTCCTCTTGATTGGAATTGCCTTTTCTCAGAAGTTTCCAAGTCAGAACTTTTCCCCCTTCCAAGTTCCATGTCATTCTCTCCACAGTTTTTGAATACAGCCAACCTTTGAATGTCTTCATCTATTAGGCTGTTCAGTTCTGAGATGAACTTAGCCCAAATCAATCTCTTTTCTCTGTCCAGCATTAGCTCTGACTGATGTCTACGTGGTTGGGCAGTAGCCTTTCTTTTCGCCCAAACTTTCATTTATTTCCCTTTCCTGTGGTAAAGTACGGTTGGCTGACCTCTGAGAGGAATTGGAAAGGGCTAAGTTGAGCTTGTTGCATGGAATGCTTTTCTGAGGCACTTTGAATAATGGTTGGGTCTGAGCTCTGACTTTGTGGCTAAATAGAGTAATTCCCCCATTGTCTGGGAGATGTGAGAAAGAGATGTGGATTTAAAGTGTAAATGCTCCCGGTGGAAACTACTCTTAGCCTTCAGGAAGAAATCAGTCCTTGGGTCCATTGCCCCCAATGTGATCTCTGTTCAGCTTCCCTTTCAACAAAGAAATAGACCCAGCTGACAAATGAAGTTCAGACTAAGAGCAAGCCTTGGAGTGGGGCACTGGAGTGTTCCCATAAACAGAGGGAGAATTGGACCCATTCTGGGGTAATTTAGTCGTGTGGACTTTGCACTTTGCCACTAAAGTGGGTTTTGTGCAACTCCCTTCAGATCTCTTAAAATGGGATGAGGAGAGGAGGAGGGGTAGGCTTGGAGGCTGCTTCCAGAAGTGACTTCCTGGGCTGAGACCTCTGTGAAGATATGAAGCATATGAGATGTAAATTCCTGAGAATGTGCTTTGAGTGTGGAGCCGACCAGCGTGCCCTACTGGGCTCTGTCTGCCCTGGTGTTCCCAGGGGCTCTTGGCTGCCAGCCCCCTTGGTGAGGGTGGAGCATGATTGTGGGGCCTGGCATAAGAAATGGGTGTGGGCAGCAGCTCACAGCAAAAGGCTGTGGGTTTCTGTCTGTCTATAATGGTTTCTGTCCTTCTGCCTGTGTGGTTGGAGATGAACCATGAGGCCATCTTGCTCCCCAGCTTTGTGGATGATGCTTCTACTCTCCACACCTTGACACCCCCATACCCAACCACACATCCTGGACTAGATTTTAATTTTGTGGTGGAAAACCAAACTCAGATAAGTGTGAAAACCTGTTTTGGAGAAGGAAATTCCAGGACTGGGGTATATGGGGCCCAGCTCTGCTTTCCCTTCTCCGTTCCCCTCCTTGTACCCTGCCCCTCACTGCTGACTGGACGCACTGCACACGTCTCTGCTGAGGACGCCCTCCCTGCACCTGGCCGGTCTCTTGCAGGCGTCTCTGACAGCTGCCTTGCCCAGCCTGGCTGAGCTGCATTCCCACCTCTGTGCTCTCCACTCACTCACTGTGTGGGACACCAGCCCCCCTGGAATCCTGTGGCTGCTCCTTGCTCCTGCTAGCCCATGAACCCCTCAAGGAGGGACCCCCGTGGGGCTCTCATGGCCCTGGTGTTCATTCGTCCGTGCAGCAGTCTTCACTGTTGCACTGGATGTGGGCAGCATGCTGGGTGGCGGGCGGTGGTGGTGGGTGGTGGTGGCCTCGCCTGCCAGTTTCCTCTCCAGTTTCTCCCCATGCAGCAGTGGTGAGTGCCAGGGCAGATGGGGCAGCTAGGATGCCTAGAGCTTGAGTTCATTATCTACCTGGCTGTGATCAGAGTAAAAAAAAAAACCAAACCATTGCTGTTGAGTCGATTCCAACTCATAGCGACCCTCTAGGACTGCCCCATAGGGTTTCCAAAGAGCGGCTGGTGGATTCAAACTGCCGACCATTTGGTTAGCGGCCATAGCCCTTAACCACCATGCTGCCAGGGCAGGGCTTAAACAGGCCTGTGGGGTCCAGGAGGCCTGGGCTGCGGCCATGGTCACCCCATCCACACCCAGTCCTTCCTTTCATGAACTCATCCCTGTATGCAAACCCCTTCCCACCCTCCTGTCTCTCCCCGAGATGGGCTGGGAGCCAGACGTGCAGGCCCCAGGGCATCTTGAAGCCATGCTCAGCAGGCTTCTTGGTTCTTCAGGTGGCGTCTTATGTGTCCATGGTGAGTGCTGAGGCCCAGGAAGAGTACACGAGGATCCTTGGCCGCATGGGCCAGAAGCTGAAGTCCATGCAGTACCACGGCAGCTACTTCGACAGAGGGGCCCGGGCAGACAACCGCCTCTGCACGCCGGAGGGCTGGTTCTCCTGCCAGGTCAGCTGTGTGCTTGCACCCTGGGGCCTGCCAGCAGCCTCGGAGCCTGCCCCACCCTCCCAGCCTGCCTGGGTGTGATGAAGGGTGTGGTGTGGGCAGGAGTCGCTAAGCCATGGTCCTGTCTTCTGTGTGCCCTGGAATCACCTGAGGGCTGGCCATCGCAGACTGCTGGGCCCACCCTGGGTTCTGTCTCTGGAGGGCTGAGTGGGGCCTGAGAATCTGCATTTATAACAAGTTCCCAGTGATGCTGCAGCTGATGATCAGGGACCCACTCCAAGAACCCTGATCTGGGCAGGAAATAAACCATTTCGTGAGGGGGAGAGACCTTGCCTTGGCGTCTAGGAGCTAAATTACATAACAAGGAGTGATTTATGTTCATCTAGGTGGGCTGGCAGGAGGAGTCTGATTGAGGAGCCTCTGAAAAATGGTTTTCACCCCCCACCCCCCTGGGTAGAATTTGTAGATGACATAGCATCTTGGTGTCTCAGGGTTCGAGGCTAGATGGGACCTTTTCAGTCACCAATTAAAGCTACCTGGTGTTCTTGGCATTGGTTAGAAACAGTATTTGGATCTGCTCAGGCAGACCCCCGGAGCACCATCTGGAACAGGTGTCACCACTCTGGTGGCTGAGGGTGACCTTTGCCAGAGCAAGTCATCCAGATGCCGTCCTGGTTTTCCCTTCTGCAAGTGGTGACACAGCCCTCTGCCATGTGAGAGCAACTGACTGATGGTTCTTGCCATTTCCAAACTGCAAAGTGCATTTCTAGTTAAGTCCCTGCCTGACACCATGGCCTTCCTCCTGCCACTGAATGGACAGCCGTAGGAGCTGGTGCTGCGGGCAGTGTCTGGGTGGGAGCATGCTGCGTGTGAGGCATCCCTCCTACTGCGAAGACTGCTTTCGTCCTTCCAGATGGTGCTCTTGGGGTCTGCCTGAGCACAGGGGGACACAGCTTGTCCTCTTGGGATGGTGGGGTGGAGTCAGGATGGCTTCAGGGATGAGGTGACGCTGTAGAGCTGTGCTTTGAATGGTGTACAGGGGTCGGTGGGAGTGGGTAGCAGCACAGGCTGAGAAGGGCCAGGCAGGCTCTGGCTAGGGGTAGGCAGCAGCGGGTGCTGGGAGAGCTGCAGGCCCTCGGGCATGCTGGAGCACAGGGTGGCAGGGTGAGGTGGTAGCATGTGGTGTATGTTCAACAAATGTTGGCAAATGAATGGGGGTGCTGAGTGACCAAGAGTGCTGGCCACAGGGACACTTGAGCAGTGACTCACAGCAGGTTCAGCAGAGCAGCCCAAACTCTGAGCATCCCCAGTGACCCAGCCTCTGGATTGGGCTAACAAGGAAAGTGTTGGAAGTCATGTGGCATGGATGGAAAGGGAGCAGCCGGGTGCTGGGTCCTGGCCCCACCCCATGCTGGCTGTGGGCATGGGCAATCTGTCCCTCCCTGGGTCTCTGTTTCCCACGAGGTGGGGATGATGGTGTGTGATTGCAGGAGCATCGTTAGGACAATGGAGTGTCCCAGTCTGGGACACAGGAGATGCTAGTAAGGGGAGTTGTCATTCGTAAGAGTGACAGTGTGCTTGTGTGTGCCTGTGGGAAACTCAGAACATGACATTAGGGGCAATGAGGGCAAAAAGGGGGCCCATCTCCAAAAGCTGAATTCTTAATCCCGCTAACAGCAAATGTTACCAGGGACTAAATTCTCTGCTGGGCATACTTCCCAGTAAAGCCATCTGTGTGATTCTCCACCCCTGAGGTGGTGGGGGAGTCCCTGGGTAGTGCAAATGGTTAATGTGCTTGCCTGCTAGCCAAGAAGTTGGCAGTTCAAGTCCACCCAGAGGCCCCTTGGAAGAAAGGCCTGGTGATCTACTTCCAAAAATCAGCCACTGAAAACCCTATGGAGCACAGTTCTGTTCTGACACGCGTGGGGCTGCCATGAGTCAGAGTTGACTCCACGGCAATGTGAGGGTGGAAGTCAGCTGGCAGCAGACTCGCTCTGTGGCCTTCACCTCGTTCTCTTTGGCACCCAGGGTCCTTTTGACATGGATGACTGTTTGTCTAAACACTCCATCAACCCCTACAGCAACCGAGAGAGCAGGATTCTCTTCAGCACCTGGAACCTGGATCACATGTAAGTATCAATCATGAGAGAGCTTCAGGAGGCCCTGTCGCTGAGAACCACGCTCACAGACCACCGTTCTTCCCAGCTATCAGCGAGCATAGTTTGTAACAGCTGTGATTAGGGGTCAGCATGGTTTAGTTTTAACTGCAGTGGGCTCTGAGGAGGAGGCGGGTTTGCATCCCTGCCCACACTGTGTGCCCTTGAGCATGCCACTGCTCTGCCCTGAATTCCCAGCTGTGAGTGCAGTGAGTATCACATTGCTGCTGGGAGGGTGGCATCATGTGGAGGAGCTCGGCATAGCTCTGGGCCCCTGGCAGGGGTTCACTGTCACATGTCATTGTGCTGTGTGTGCATTTCTTGCTTGAACCAGGGTGAGCTCAGTAAACAGTATCTCTTTGTTGTTCTAGCCTGTCGGCTCTTCTTGTTTAAACAGGATGGGCAAATCTCTTGGCTAGCAGGGCTGTTTTTATATCTATATTAGCTCTGTGACAGCTCATTCTAAAAAAAGGGCAGAAATGGAAAATATCATTATTTTCAACAGAGACACTTTCCTTGGCTACAATTGAGTCATCACCTCTACTTTATGAAGACAAAAGAAAAGATCTTCAAATGCCCATACAATGGCTATATTACTTTTGGGGTCCAGATTTTTTGTGAAAAATTATAAACATAATAGATATAGTTGAAGCCCCCTGTCTTAGTCTGGGTTCTCTAGAGAAAAAAAACCAATAAAGCATGTAAATATATATACATATATATTTGTATCAAGGAAACAGCTCATGCAATTGTAGAGGCTAGAACGTCCCAAGTCCGTGGATCAGGGTAGAGGCCTCTCCCAATTCATGCAGCTGCAGAAACTGGCGAGCCCAAGATCGGCAGGTCAGTGAGCAGGGCTCCTGCTCACAGGCTGTGAAGATTGACGAAGTCCAAGATTGACAGGCAGGACTGCAAGTTTTCTCCTGATTCACATAACTGCAGGGGCTGGCAAACCCAAGATCAGTAGGTTGGGGAGCAGGACTCTTGCTCGCAGGCTGTGAAGATCGATGAATCCCAAGATCCACAGGTAAGCTGCTAGCTCAAGTCCCAAGAACTGGAGGTGAGACAACAGGAGGCAGCCACAGGATCCAGAGTGAGCAAAAAGCCAGAATGTCTGCTTGTATTTGGATGCAGGCCACACCCCCAAAGAAATTCCCTTGCAATTGATTGACTACTCACAGCAGACTCAATCATGGGAGTGATCACATATAAACACTGAGAATCATGGCCCAGCCAAGTTGACACACAATCTTAACCATCACACCCCCCTTTTCTCCCTTTCTGTACTCAGTCCCCTTTCTTGCATCTTCCTATCCCCCAGAATAACCACTGTCCTGAAATTTGTGTGCATCCTTCAAATACCTGTTTATATGCCTTTACCATGTATGTATGTGCTCAAAAACTAGGTATACAGATGGTATCATACTCTGTCATTCTGCAGCTTGCTTTTTCATTCTAATTATGCTTATGGTGATGCATGTGTAGACTTTGGTTCATTCATTTTAGCAGGTATAGAAGACTTCAGTTTTGAATATACTGTAATTTTAACATCCATTTCCATACTGGGAGACAGGTGATTTCTAGTTTTTCATAATTACAAATAACTCTGAAATGAACACTCGTATATGTCTCCTGGTTCCATGCTGTGGTGGTCTGCAGACCAGCAGCATCAGCGTCATCTGGGAGCTTGTTAGGAAGGCAGAATTCTCAAGTCCTGCCCCAGACCTGCTGCATCAGAATCAGCACCTTATCCAGCTGCCCTGTGATTCGTGATCCGGGTGCATGCTCGGGTGTGAGGAGCGCTGTCCCAGGAAAATTGCCGGGCCTGGAGGGCTGCCCACTTCTGCCTTTCCCAGAGGTTCCTAGGCTGCTCTCTCGAGTGCTCCAGTTTATATGCTCACCAGCTATGTGAATTCACATTGCTCCATGTCCTGCCAGCACTTGGTGTAGTTGTACTTTTTGCATTTTCCCCATCTGATGGGCAAGAAACAGATTGACCTGCTTTAATTTTCCTTTTCCTGATGACTAGGAAGGTTGAATATCTTTATATGTTTACTGGCCATTTGTGTCTTCTATGAACTGGCTGTTACTTTCCTTTGCTCATTGTTTATTGGATTTTTGTTTTCTTATTTATTTGTTGGGATTCTTTACATATTCTAGATTCTAATTCTTTTGTGGCTATTTTGTGTTACAGATATATTTTCCTAGTCTTGGGCTTGTCTTAATTCTATGATGTCTTTTATTGTGATAAGTTTTACATTTTAAATTTGAATGTACTCAGATGTATCTTTTTCAAAGTGTAGGTTAAGAAATCCTTCCCACTCTATTATCATATTCTTCTAAAATTAAAATTATTATTATTATTATTTTTTCCATGTAGGTCTTTAATCCATGTAGAATTAGAGTATAGGGTGAGGGTCACAGGCTAATTTAATTCTTTTTCACATGCTTGTTCCAGCACTGTTCAGGGACCACCCATTCTTTCCCTGCTGGTTTCTCATGTGCCTCTGGACATGCACTGATGCTGAAGGATGGTTCCTGGGCCATCGATCTGCTCTTGTACTTTTCCTGACCCATTGGAGGCAAGGGCATCAGTCTACGAGATACCACCATGTCTTAGTTATCTAGTACTGCTGTAACAGAAATATCACATGTGGATGGCTTTAACGAATAGAAGTTTATTCTCTCACAGTCTAGTAGGCTAGAAGTCTGAATTCAGGGTGCCAGCTCCAGGGGGAAGGCTTTCTGTCAGCCCTGGAGGAAGGTCCTTGTCACCAATCTTCCTTTGGTCTAGGAACTTCTCCACGCAGGAGCCCCAGGTCCAAAGGATGCACTCTACTCCCAGTGCTGCTTTCTTGGTGGTGTGAGGTCTCTCTGTCTCTTTGCTAGCTTCTCTCTTTTATATCTCAAAAGAGATTGACTCAAAACACAGTACAATCTTATAGATTGAGACCTGCCTTATTAACATAACTGCCGCTAATCCCATCTCCTCAACGTCATAGAGATAGGATTTACAGCACATAGGAAAATCACATCGGATGACAAAATGGTGAGCAATCCCACAATACTGGGAATCATGGCCTAGTCAAATTGATAAACACATATTTTTTGGGGACACAATTCAATCCATAACTCACCAGCATTTAAAAAATGAAATAGGCTGGACTAGAATAGAATACAATGAAAAGAGCAGAATGCACAGCAGCATGAGTAAGCAATGTTTCATGAAACCTATGTCTCAGTTAGTTATACCTTCTCTCTTTCAATACATGTATTTTGTTGTTGTTATTAGGTGCTGTCAAGTCGATTCCAACTCATAGCAACCCTATGTACAACAGAACGAAACACTGCCTGGTCCTGTGCCATCCTCATGATCGTTGTTATGCTTGAGCCCATTGTTGCAGCCACTGTGTCAATCCATCTTGTTAAAGGTCTTCCTCTTTTTTGATGATCTTCCACTTTACCTGGCATGATGTCCTTCTCCAGCGACTGGTCCCTCCTGATAACATGTTCAAAGTATGTGAGACAAAGTCTCATCATCCTCGCTTCTAAGGAGCATTCTGACTGTACTTTTTCCAAGACAGATTTGTTTGTTCTTCTGGTAGTCCATGGTATATTCACCAACACCATAATTTAAAGGCATCAGTTCTTCTTCGGTCTTCCTTATTCATTGTCCAGCTTTTTTTAAAAAGTGACACCTTGTATTGGGCATTTCTCTGTGATGTAGAGGAAAGGAATCTATGCAAGCCAGTTTCATCCACCATCTTGCCACAGGCCCTCCTACTCCTTGTGTTTCTAATTCTATCTTGTCCGTTTACAAGTTTTCTCACCTGTTATTGCATGATCTTTGGAATAGTTTGTTTATAAGTGAAGCACGTTTACACAACACAATATCATAATTCAAGAAAAATGGACACATATATATGAATATAAGTATAAGGAGAGAAATGAGAGGATAGGTGGTAGTCAAAGGTGACTTTAGTTTTCTTTGTAGTGTTCTATTTAAAAAATTATTTCATATATTATAATTATTTTCTAAACTTACACATAGATAAAAATGTGGAAGCATATAAGCCAAATTGTTGATAATAGTTAATTGTAACATGAGAATATGGGTGACTGCCATTTTTTTGTCGGTGTACTTTTCAGTATTGTTTTTTAATACCCACAAGTAAAAAAATTTTAAAAGTCAAATAAGCAAAGTTGCCAGTATCAGGCTTTGCTAGACAGACCTGGCTGAGCAGACATGAGCAAGTTTTAGTCGTGACACTTAAGATGAGTTTATGAAGGAATGTCCCACAGTGGTAGTTCTGGTGGCAGCTAGATGTTTATATCAAGTTCACTGCCATCCTGGTCCTTCTGGAACGCTTCCAAGTTTTATTCTGCAAGGTATGGAATCACCCTCCAGAAAACCATTTGGCCTTTGGTCTTGAGAGCCAGACCGCACCTGAGGCAAATGAATGGGGGGTGACCAGACCAAAGGGACCACCTGGGGGCCCTATGCTAAGCCTCAGGAGACATGATGTAATCTATTATGGTCCGTGGTAAGGCCAATCAAGGCCTTGGAAGACAGAGGCTCAGGGAGCTTTTTGGTTGGTGACCATGCATGGGAGAGGGTAGCATGTCCCTCTTTGGGACATGGAAGCTCTGCACTGTGACCCCGCCCAGACTTAACCATATATGTCTCTTCATTTGTATTCTTTTTATATTAAAGCTACTGTTGCACGTATGGTATCCTTCATGAACTGTGAGTTGTTCCACTGAATTATCAGACCCCAAGAAGCAGGGTGAGCTGGCCAGTCTGAAGTAGAGGGAGTCTTGTAGACTCCTGGACTTGTGGCTAGTACTCTGAGGGGATAGAGGAAAACCCCAAGTTTGGGGCTGGCTGGTCTGAAGTAGGGGGAGTCATGTGGACCCCGGAGCTTGCAGCTGGTTCCTGCTGACCCAGCCCTGGGTGACAAAGGATGAGAGAGAAAAGAGCTTCATGGGCAGCTGGGGTCTGAAGTGACCAGGCAGGGAAGCTGAGATTTCCACGGAATGCAGCTGGCATGTGGGGTGGGATTTGTTAACCATCACAGAATTTGGTGCTAGAGGAGGGTGATCTTAGTCTCCCTGGATTGATTTGCACAACTGGCGCAGTGGGCAGGGTTTGCTAGAGTGATGCTGGTGTCACTTATACCCTTTGAAATCTTGAAGAATTTCCACTTGTCTTTTCCTGTAAGCAGCCAAACATTGTTTTATGTTTTAGCTGAAACAACTGAGTAAAAAGTGCATTTTAAATGTTTCTGGTGTAATAGGGAAATTGCATGGGTGGCCTGTTGCCCATGGGATTGTGACAACAGAACATGACCATCTGACCTTACTTTGCAGAATAGAAAAGAAACGCACCATTGTTCCGACACTGGCTGAAGCAATTAAAGAACAGGACGGAAGAGAAGTAGACTGGGAGTACTTTTACGGCTTGCTGTTTACTTCAGAGAATCTAAAATTAGTGCACATCGTCTGCCATAAGAAAACCACCCACAATCTTAGCTGTGACCCCAGCAGGATCTACAGACCCAAGGCTGAGTTAAAGAAGAAGCGGCCTGCTCAGAAACGCACGTGACCTGTGCACCCCATGTTGGGACCTTGCGTGGGGCCCGACAGTAACATGCCATCCTTTCTGCAGGCGCTGTCAGGACCTCGCCCAGGCCCAATGGTAGACATTGTCCTTCTTGAAGGTGCTAGCTTTTTTTTTTTTTTAATCACTCCAGTGGTTCCTGGAAAGAACTCTGGCTTTTTAAAATTTTCTACAAATTTCTGATTTCAGTACATTTCTGAATCTGTTTTCTATAACTTTGACAGCCCAGCTTCTACAGAACAAGCTTTAGTGTACTCAGTGAACATCTGTGGGTACCTAGTAATATTGGTGGGCAGGGATAAGGAATTCTTTGAACTCAGGGATGTTTTTGCTCTGATTTTACCAGTACTTTGTATGCTTATAGTGTAATCTCCATCCTGAAAAGGTGTAATGCCTGAACTTAGCCTTTTGTTTTAGTTTAATGCCTGAACTTAGCCCCTTGTCTTAGACTGGGTTTTCTAGAGAAGCAAAACCAGTGAAGCATCTTTATATATATATATATGGAGCCCTGGTGGTGCACTGGTTAAGACCTACGCTGCTAACCAAAAGATTGGTAGTTCAAATCTACCAGCCACTCCTTGGAAACCCTATGAGGCGGTTCTACTCTGCCCTATAGGGTTGCTATGAGTTGGAATCGACTTGATGGCAACGGATTTTATATATATATTTATGTGTACGTATATATATACATATATTTATGTATATACATATATATATATATA